AGGGCAGAAAATAGTAAGACTGAATAGATATTGACTGAATAGGAGACAATAATTTTCTGCCAACAGTAACTGTCTTAACACCAAAATGATTGTAAAAGGATGTATCTGAGATCAAAATAGTCCCCATGTGAATCATACTTAAAATTTGGGGAAATTATTGACAGCATGTGCCTCTTTATTTAGTGCTCTGAAGATGAACATTTATTTTGTTACTTCCTTTCCTTCTGCTTTTTGCATATTTTCCATATAACATGGCATAAATCAAGTTGTTCAAACTATGATGTAAGGTATAGTTCTATACAGCAACACTCTGTAGTGATCAAGGTAATGAGGTCTATACTAGAACAGCAAAATTCTTCCAAAAGGAGGAATGGAAACTCACAGAATAAGGTCAAAATGGAAACATGAATGTTATTCTACTATCTATCTCACTTTTTTTCATGACAGCCTTGAGAATCACAAGGGATGCAATGGTAAGTGTAAGGTGAGCAACTGATCTATTTCAACTAGATTCATATCAATTGTACACTTTAATAGTTATCTTTATCCTTCCAGCTATGCCATCCTTCTCTGTTCTCACCTCCAGTTAAAGCTGTTAGACAAGAAATATACCACCCGAATAGCAAATCCAAAACACTCTACCCATTAAAGGTTTCCCCTTTTCTTCTACTAAGAACAAAGAACACATTACATTTTTCTATCTGAAGTATGCTATTAAATAGTAGCTTGTACACTAATTAAAGCAAATGTAATTGTGAGAACACACTGACATTGTTAAAGTAAATTACCCAATTCGTTAATAGTTTCAAGTGACCTTAATTGTATTAATTGTGATATTGAGCAAATTAAATTGAAGAGTGTTAAACGCATTGTTCCAGTCTGTCCTTAGAGGATCAACCTTCCTATTACATGAATGAAATGGGAATACTACCTACTACATTCCTCAAAACTTGTGTCAGAATGTGGAGAGTTCTATAACTTTGAGTAAAAATTTATTGCAGCTCAGAAAGTTACCCTAATTAATCTGTTCAAATGTAATATAAACCTGAAGCATTTGGAAATGGACAAAGTGTTTGTTAGATGTAGCACAGAAAGATAAAGTAAAAGAGTAAAGTTTCTGAAATTTCCTTTCCTATATTCAATGCTTATGGTGTCTGCTGGATACAAAAAAGATAAGATTCACCATATTGTTTTGATGAAGATGACTAGAATCATACAAAATGAAATGAATAAAATGAACAACATCATGGAAACTTTTTGAACACAAAACGTATTAAGATAGCATCTACTTATTATAGTCAAAAGTAAGGAAAAAGGTATAGGTACAAGCACGTAAATGACAATACACTAAGATCCAAAAGTTATAAACCGAAATAAAATGTTGCTAAAATTATTTAAAAATGCCATTTGAATTGTAAGACTACAAAAATGAGAATCCCACTCTCATAATTTTTGCTAGTTATTAAAACTTTAATTTAAAAGTGTATGTGATTGAATATATCCAATGAACGTGCATTTGTTTATATTGAAAAAATAACAAAAGCAATATAGACTAAATCAACCATCAGAAAAAAAAATTGAAATTATATATCCTTTTTTTAAAAAATATTTAAGTATTGCAGGAGAATAAGAAAAATTTTGATGTTAACTAGAAATCTAGTTTGTGGCCTATTCTGACTTTGTAAATTTGCAAACAAGCACATTCTCATTATTTGCTGTAACTCAACATTTGAAGAGCCACAGTTAAACAAAACCTTTATGTGAATACCCGGATCGTTCTCTAAATTTACCTCATCTATTGTGTTCTAGTTTTATTTGTTGAGACAAACAACTGACTATCTTCAATGTTGCATTTGCAACATTAAATCTTCTTACTGAACTATGTCTTATTATTCACAGGGCACTTATCTAAAATCTCAAAAATAGTTTGAATTCTGTTAGCCCTTCACTGTGCCAACAGCCATATCTTTAATAAAACACGTTTTCTCTCTGTAACTTCACAGAAATTTTAATAAAAGCACCAAGTACTACTAGACTAAATAAACATCTTTCCAGAACCCCATCCACCATATTCTTCCTCGCTGACAGTAAATGAATAAAACCTAATCTATGCATATTGTTTTCCAGCCAGTTATATTTAACAGCAATCCACAAATTTCCAAGGTTTCCTTTCTATGAGTGCTTTGGGAGACAATTTCAACTGGACATTATATCTCCCGGTACTACATTTCAGTATCAGCTACAAACACTAAAAACACAGTCCTCCGCATGCATTAGCAAGTCAGACTAGCTCTATTATTATGTACTTATTTTCAATGTACTTAACAATGGTGTGCTTTATTACCTCATCCCAGTGAAGACTTCTATAACTTTGTCTCCAAGGTAATCCTTTAAGCACTCAGCTCAGCTTCAGAAAAAAAGAAACAATTAACATGTCCTGGCATTTCGTAATATTATATAGAACATTGATCAATTTTTTCCTAACTAAAGCAATAGTGTGTTTGCTTAAACACAGCTTTCACACACTAGAATCCTTTACTAAATTCAAGCAACTTCAATTATGCAAGGTCTTTTTTGTATTAAAGAATGGGCTGCATCTTCCCCATCCTCATAGTATGCTACAGTATTTTTAAGTGGGACTTCACATTTTTCTTCAATGAGATGAGGATTCATACAATTTTCTAATCGCTGCAGAGCTACTGTTAGAAAATGCATACGCAGAAGGAAGAAAGGCTGTGCATATATATCACAATATGAATTGAGACAATTCTCTATCCATCTCCTAAGTATTAATTATTTTGTTTCAACGGTTAGATACTTCATTTGCAAAACACTGATTACTTCCTTATTCTGAACTTGTAACCAGGCCAGATGGACAAAAATGACGCTATACTTTGATGCTCAAAGACGTAACACTGCCTAAATATATGTTTTATTTAAAATTAAATATTTAAACTTCAAATATTTGGTTTGGATATATAAAGTTTCAAATTAAAATGCAGTATGAGTCTCACAGTAAAAAAAAAAAAAATCACAAAAACGAAGATGAAATGGATGCTTTATATAAAATATTTACATAGATAGAACATCAAAAATGTACCATAGTTGGTAACCTTTATGACTTGGGGAACCATGTATTTACATATCTTTATCTTTGCATGTGCGTATGTGGTGTTGTGTATATATTTTTAACAGTTGACAGCTGTTTTAGAGCATACAGAGATGCCAAGCTGAATGAGGGTCTTGATTACTTCAAGATTAGCTATCTAAAGTTTCTATTCATTTTAAGTGTTGTTAGTGCGAAGAGTCATTAGTCACTTCCTTGTCTCATAGAACATCAGCATACATTTACATTGTTAATGAACATTTGGGGTAAATGAATTAATGGCACTTTTAAACATCAATTCAATACCAATAACTTCGTATGTCATAGAAATGTTAAGGTTGGGGTAAAAACAAGAAACCTTTTCAGTCAAGGTAACTAATCATTTCTGGGCACAATAAAGGCTAAAATTAATTTACTGTGCTTTTTAACAGGATAAAAATCCTGATTTTCCTTGAAATAGAGTTGAGAGAATTTCCAATATTTTCAGGGAAAAAAATCAGAAGAAAAAGCTCATCTTTCTTGATTGGTGTAAAGCAGAAGCAAACTATACTTCCTCAGGAAAACGGTTATTATTTTAGGTTATTGCAATGGATTATTTTCAAGTATCTAGAAATACTTATAACAATGCTTTTAGTTTTATCAAACCAAAATGGCTTTATATTGTTAAGATGTCAAATATAACAGAGAAAGAACACTGACCTGAAAAAGCTATTTCATTTAATTGTCAGGTTTTGAAATACTATCCCCTAGATGTTCATTCTAACTTTTTGATACTGAAAAAGCTTTATAAAGCCATGAAGAAAAAACAAACAAACAAACAAACAAAAAACCCTCAAAGGAGCAATGAAGTTTTACCTATGTATTTTAAAGCAACACACTGGCTTTTTCTAAACTGAAGTAGTAAAACTGACTAAGCAAATCTTGACATAGCTTTCTTAATAAGCACTAGTAAACAGAAGATTTATAGACAGATACACCTACAGAGAATGGTTGATATGGGTGAGGGACTTAAGAAATGTGACAAAGTTGTTTCAACTGAGTAATTTAAAACACATTTTTTAGTTTGCCCTCCTGGTACATGTGCTCAATAACTGGAAAATTGCAGGTAGTTAAGGTGCCATTGTGTATAACTGAGTACTTGAGGAATGTTTTCATGACAAGGATCTTGGCTTCTTGTTAAGCTTATCACTTTCTTCGAACCAACTATACTGTCACCACTAGCAAATAAGTAGAAAAGACAAGCAGCGCAGACATGCATTGCATTATGCAAGTATTTTGCTCTCACTGTTCATTAAAGTCTTCCAAATACTGCATTTTCTTAATTTACTTTGGGTTACAAAGTAGCTTCTACTGTTAAGAGTCTATTCATTCTACCTCAACTTTCAGTATATATGTATATATATACAGTATAAGTATATATGACAAGATTCTTACCAAAAGAAGGTCAAACAAAAAATATGAAAATCACCCTTTTTATTTCTATAAACTCTTCCAAAATAATGCATTTCACTTTATCACAGTTTGAATAAATAAAGAGGGAAAAAACCCTGGAACCAGAAGAAATGTGAAAGAGCCCATCTTTCAAAAAGTAACACAAAGCCATGCTTTATTTCAATATTCTTATGCTGAAATCAGTGTTTGGTTTATGATTAAAAAAGGATGACAGAGCATTAAAAATTTGGCTAATGTTTCTGTCTGAAATTGAAAGTTGACTTTTCGTGGTTTTCATTAGTATCACAGTGTTCTACACAAACTCTGTGAAATGTTCTTTATATTTCCTTGTCAACTTCATTGAGAAAATTAAACAAATTATGACAGGTATAGTTATCATGACACATTATGTTTGTAGGTATAAAGTTAAAATAAAAAATCCCCACAGAAATACAAAACTCACCTTCCTCTGTTTTGTTCAAGTAACTCTGCAAGGGATCAATGCCTACTTCTTGTTCCTCTGTTTGCAAAGGGTGGCTGGTTTCAGATACAGATTGATACATATTGCCAATAATCTTCACTGAAGGATATTTATCTGGAGGAAGAGAAGAAACAAACACTTAGTGTTTCTTTAACTACTTTTTAATAACACAATTCAAAATTTAAAATACTTAAAAATCTTTCCTTACTTTCCAGGTAGAAAATCACCATTAGATGTTAAGTAAAAGAATAATGGCATTTCCCTTCAAATACTTTGTTATTTGAAGTCCAAAAGAATTGTTATAGTACCTCTCAACAATCACACGCAAATAAAATGCACATATTGTTTTGAGGGACACTGAGTTGGGGCAGGAGTCTCTCTCCTTCCTTTTCTAGCTTTCTCAAGTCATCTTTCAGTCTTACTACAAAGAAAATTGATGCTAGGCTGCGGGGACAATGAAGGTTGTAGAGCAAAGCTGAGGTAACAGCCACCATCACATCCTTCAGGATTCAGAACACCTCATCCTAGAAAAACATTCTTCTTTTAACTATATTTATATTTTAGAAACCTCAGGCCAGTTTATATTTTAGAAACCTCAGATATTGATTGGTATGATGATTTCAATTTAATCAAGATTTCTATTAGCTTTGTAGCAAGGTGATGTTAAGGAAACATTTGAAGAAACTTAATCAGCTAATTAGTTAATGTTTATAAAGAAGTTCTTCCCCAAATTAATAACAAAAGGAGATAAAGCAGGTCAATGAAAACTCAGCAAGAGGGTTATACGAGTTCATCATCACAGTCTGAATGGAATACAAATCAATAACACACAAATGACCAAGAATGATGTTAGAAGCTCATGTGAAGTACATTTTAAGCTAATATTTGCTGCAATGAAAAACAGGATGCCAATAAAAAGGGAGAAGCAGATGGTGTTATGGTCAGAGAGGTAAGACAGAGAAATGACCTTTCCAGTGCATTATCACAATGCAGGAATACATTTTTCGAGACAGCATTTTGGTCCATACATAGCAATTTAATAACAGCTTGAAAGAGATGGATCTAACCTGCAACACTGACCTGTGGCTGCCACTTGAGTTTTAAGTATCATTTCCTGTAGCTGCTTAGTTTACAGTATTTAAATTTCTAACTCCAAGAAAATTATATTTAAGAAGAAATATACAAAGAGGTATGTTTCTATAGTTTCAGGATTGGTGAATTACCAATTCAAAAATCACTCTAATTATGCTTTTCTTATGGTTCATACAAGGCACTGACCATGTATGCTTAATGACTTCAGTTTATTAACAATAAACGAATGATCATCTCTTGCTACTTTTTAGCTAAAACATTATCTGATGGTGCTTGGAACTGAGGGAAGGCAGGACTGCCTGCATTTGCAGTGGTACATATTTATGGCAAATTATTACAATCAAATAATCATGGCCTTAGAGAAAATGCACCACAAATACAGAAAGGCCTTTAACAAGTTTTTGGATGATCTCAAAAAACACATTATGAATGTAAGTACACTTCACATCTTTTGTATGTGATTTATTAACCATAATCACAGAAAATACATGAATAATAACTCTGAGAGAAGCATTTAAAAACTTTCTAGCCATTTAAACAATATCTCAATGCTTGCCTGCAGTCTTATGACTACATAATACAGGCAGATGTTTATAATTACTTGATATTTTAAATAAATGAATGAAAAACTTGTAAGAATTAAAAGTTGATTATTTATTTAAAGAAAAAATTGTAGAAAAATATGTTTACAACTTTGCTCCTGTTGGAATTCTAGCGGCTTCTCCTGTTGTCTTTGCTGTATCATTGTTGCTGCCTTTCCATTGCATGAGTCTCAAAGGTTCATTTATACTGTTCTGCTACTGTTTAACTTTTTGTTGTCATAGTCCTTCACAACATATCTAAATAAGGCACAATGCTACTAGCTTATCAGATTGAGAATCAGGCTTAAAATCTCCTTATTAGCAGCCAATTCTTTAAGACAAAATGTGCTTTGGACTTCCATTTTCTTATATGAGTAATACAGTATGAAATTGGCTCTGGTAAGTTTGTTCTCCTTTTTCTTCTTTTCTGTTTCTACCTTCTCTTTTTCTCTCTTCTCTCTCTTTTTTTTTTTTTAATACTCTCCAAATACCATGCCTTTATGACATGTAAGAGCCATAATTTACTTTACAGACAGTTACAGCAATTTTAAAGCTAAAGAGATTTACTTTTGATACTCAAACGGTGATTTAATCAGTTACTTGTGTTTGTTTATGGATACATTTGATTAGTGTTTAAAAAAAAGTATCGCTATTAACTTTAGTGATAGTCCAAGCAATTTCCTTTATAGTTCCATACTTAAGTTCTTTTCAGCTCTTCTAAGAAAGAACAAAGCAAACTATTAAATAATTATGATTACTCTCGGGATCTTACTCTGAGAAAGATTAATTCTTTACAGGTTTGTGGTTGATTCATAATGGCCTATAACATATTGCTCATATTAACTAAGATGTAAGTTAAAAGCATTTTCAATGTGAAACAATAAAAATGTTATTAAAATCCTCTAAAATTCAATTAGCTTACAAGACTTGATACTGCCTACCTAGACTCTCAGTCAAAGCTAACAGTGACTATATTATCTATTCCTGCTAATTTTCTTCAAACATGATGGGCTAAAAAAGACGAAGAGCAGGCACCCTTCCTAGCACTGGGAATTCTACTATTCTTTAACATATACAGAAACAGAATTAGGGCTGCATATGAAACATTTACCTTGTTTAGGGGAATGAAAGGAGACATGAACCCACCCGCGAGCCTAAGGCAGATAAGTGATGTGTTTGGCTCCTCTCTCTAAGTGTGAGAGCAGAGAAAGCCCTGCAGTACTTCTGGATGCAACCAGCACATGGCCCGAGAGCTCAGGCGCCATGGGATGCCTCCACCTATGGCAGCACCTCATGTCAACTCCTCACTGACCAGTACACGCTGAATGAACCCAGTCTGGTTTTCAACAGTAGAAAAGGCACCTTGTTGGTAAACCTGTGACTTATCAGTGCAGGTTTTCAACAGAAACAACCAAAAATCCCATGAAATTGGCTTAAAGACACAAACATGGAAATCTTCTGGATATAAAAAGGACTGTGGAGATACCAGCTTATAATATACTCCCACATGATCTCCACCTCAGTCCATTGCATAGCATAAAATATCAGCCTACTTCCATTAGGAAAATCTTTACTAACATTTATTTCCACCTTACTAACAACCTCCTTCTGCATAACAGAAATCAACTACCTGTTCTATTAATTATTTGCTAGCTAGAAACACAAGACTAAGTCAAAAGTCTGTGTGAGATTTGCTTCTATCTTAGCTGAAGTGTCAGTGGTGCACTTGTCATCTGGACAGGGACTGGGCAAAACATGGCAAAAGCATGTATTACACAAACGTAGAACAATAACACTATAGCTAGTAGAGTACAAAACAGCAGAGTCCTCTGTGATTTGATTATAATAAATGTTCATGTAATAGACTAATCATAATGAATGTTCAATCAGAAGTTGAAATGCTCATAACAAAACCAAACTTCATAGTGGTATTTTTGTTTGTTTGTTTTTTAAAGCTGCAAGACTATTTGTTAACAGATGAGAAAAATACATGACTACTTGATTGTAAAAAAAAATCATAAATTCAAAACTATCATGTTCACAATCTGAACATAAACACAGTACTTTATTTCAAGCCATAAGACCTTAATTTACCTCTTCATTTGCAATAACTACTGAAACAAATATAGGTAACACACTTTGTTTCAAAAACAGTTACTGAATGATTTTAATTTCAAACTAAACTAAACCAACTCTGAAATGTTTTCCTTTATCATCTATCTCTGCATAGAAATTTAAAATGATTTAATCAAACTGTGTGGACAAGATAAACCAAAACATACAAAAACTCATATGTAGTGAAAAATATTCATATTGTTTGGACAAAATGAGAATGGCATTTTAGAAGGTGTAACTGAACAGAAAAACAGAAGTGGGAAGTCAGAAGCACTTCTGATGCCCATTTGCTCTCTCTTCACTTCCCCTTATGGTGCAATGAAAGGAGAGAAACCACATGCTGGAAGAGGTCCTTAGCATCGGGGTAGGAAAACTGCACAAATTCCAATTTTGGTCTCCAAATCAGCTTCCTGTACAACTTGAAAACACTCTTAAGAAAACTAAGATTGCTGAGAGGATACAATGTCAGGTCTGCAGGCTTACTTGAAACTAACAAGGTACATTCCTGAGAACTTGTCTCACTCATGTTTTCTGTCATCTGCTGATCCCCAAACAATTAAGCAAAAAAGTAAAAACTTTAATCTGTGAAGAAAGGAAACAAACAAATGTTCAATGTCAGTGGAAGGAACCAAGCACTGCATATGCTAAGGGTTAAAATCAGTATATAAGGGTACATATCAGTACCAGCAGTGTTATTGGAATATGACATTTCTGCAAACTACTGAAGTGTAGCAAAGTATTTAAACAATACTCTGCATTCATTCTATTAGACTGTATCATCTACCTTCTTCAAATTATCTTTGGGCCTTTATTTCATGCCATATAGCAAAGCTTACCATTTTAATTACTTAAATTGACGACAACTAGAAGAAATACTTGTTTAGCTAAGTGATAAATTAGCTGCCCTATGAAGTCAAATTGATTAAAATGACCAAACGAAAAGCAAGTGTCTGATGTCGTAATGGTCTTGTGCACGTTTTGTTGAGTTTGACAGCATCATGTTATGAGGGTTCATAATTCTGCCCCTCATTTGCCGCTTATGAAGTAATCAAGCATGTTAGCACACTGAAGTGAGAACAGAATACAAAAAAACATTTTACAGTAGATATGAAATTAAATATTAGGAGTATAAAAATGCATTGTGTATATTTAAAGCAATGGAGTGCAGATGACTTGCAAATACTCTAGAAGCAATTCCAGACCCCAGGTTTGCTTTCAGTAGAAGGCTGAGAAGGAGAGGGTGCTGAGCATCCATGGAGTAATTCTGCTCTCCCTCATCCGAGCCCACCTCTTACAGAATCTACAACCCTTCACTGCAACCACCTC